GTTATGGGTGGCGAAGTTGTTTCCGGTTGGTGAATTCGCGAGGATTCTACCTCGTGAGAACCGGACGAGCGATAGCTTTCCGTGCAATCACTTTCGTGATGTGGCTTGGTGTGAGCTTGCTTCCAAATCGGACGGTCGTAGAGCGAGGGAGTTGACGCGCAAGGCGCAGACCCGTATGAGAATGACGTCGACATTCTTCGGATGAAAGGATTGATACAGCATTGTTTTACTGATGAAGCAACATCTCATTATAGACCAGCGTTCCCAGATAAGGAACCTTTCGATTACGATTCGACAGACTCTCGAGGTCCAAAGACATCGTTTTCAGGCAAACTTCATTGTTTAGTCGACCGAATCATTCCACATTGGGGGAGCTTCGGAAATGAAGAGTTTCGAGGGAATGTCTAGAGAACCTCGCCTCAATAATCGAGTAGAACTATTGCATCTTGCTAGTTTTCTCTCTATCGAGCTCCATATATCGAGCTCCTCTCAAAACCCCACGAGAAGCCTAGAATTCACTATTATTCATCAGATTCCAAGCTTGATCGAGGGGTATGTAGAAAAACCGAAATCATGGAGCAACCATGTAGCGCTTCACGACAGGATCTCGTTCAGAGTGGAATCCCGGAAATTCCCCTTTCGATACAGGAATCAGTTTGCGGCCAGCGTGAATGAGGATCGAGATATAAGACCGCAAAGTGCGACAAGTTATGGCTATCTGGATGACGAAGTACATCGAACAGGTCACCCGAGCCTGGGTAAAGACGTTTTCACGTCAAAATGTCCTTTCATGTCGCAACTCAACCTATCAGTCGTGAACGAACGAGGCACAGGCCGCTGGACGCGCATGAGCGATGTGTAACTCCCTCCCACATCAATCGATACTTCACACCCATTAATCGAAGAAACCTCGGACCCCTCTCGTATGCAGACTCACATCAGCTCTCAACCACCCCGTCCACAACTTCCGTCCCGTCACTCACTCTAACCCCAGTACTTTAGAATCACAAGAACCCCTCGGTAGAATCAATGAGATAGAGAGGGATGTTCTAACATGTAGATAATCTCTTAGGTCCCTCACTCAACCGAGAGGTTCATGAGGACCTTCAATCTCAGAATAAAAAGCACTGGCCGTTACATTGCCCTCACTGTTATGTGGACTTGGATTCGACGCTGCACATTCGTATCTAGGTGTTTCTAGCTCAAGTTCTCCGGTAAACTGACGATCCCACTTGTCAGCCATGAGCCTCCCGAATCCCGGTGATCACAGAAGAAAATGGGATCGTGACGAATACGAAAAGCGGGCGAAGGAACGCGCCGAAGGAGACAACGAGAAACGATCGTTGTCAGACGACGATGAAGACGGATGCGGACCCAGCGTCGGACCTTCGAGCTCGCGCGAGAAGAAGCCGCAGCGCGAATTGCTCAAACCTCGACAATATAAAGTGGATCTCGACTCACGCTTGGGTAAGACGACAGACATATCGAAAACAGCCGACCATTCGCAAGCCGCCGGCTATTACTGCAATGTATGTGACTGCCTTGTCAAGGATTCGATCAATTTCCTCGATCACATCAACGGCAAGAAGCATCAGAGGAATCTGGGTATGTCAATGAAAGTGGAGAGATCCACGCTGGACCAAGTGAAGAAACGGCTCGAGATGTGTCGCAGGAAGGTTGAGGAGAAGAAGAAGGCGTACAACCTGAGCGAAAGGATACGGGAAGTCGAAGAGGAGACTGAACGTATGAAAGAACATCAGAAGGAGAAGAAGAAGGATAAGCGACGAAAAGTTGACTCAGAGGACCAGGGCCTGGACCCTGACATGGCGGCGATGATGGGGTTCTCAAGTTTCGGGGGTAGCAAGGAAAACAACTAGAGCTCGCCCACCGCACCTATTGTCACGCGGGGTCTCCTGAAATGTTTGCATGTGTTGACTTTACTCGGTGGACAAAATGCGGTTGAGGCCTCGCTGTCACCGGGATGCATGGAGGTATAGTGTCGCGTGGACTTGCATTTGCCACAAGGGAATCGTGGTCCACGACAATCACCCGGTTTAGCATGAGTGCTCTTGAAGCACTGGTCACAACGTCGGTGAGCCGCGAGGATTTCCCGACGCCTCACCAAGGGAATATCAGCGGGGCACCAAGATGAGTTATGCTCCGTCACCTCACAAGACAAACACGGTCGGGATCGGAATTTCGTCTTGTAAGTCGCGCCAGCTCTGGGAACAGCTGCGGCGACTATGGTGCTCCTTTGACGTCGGAAGGCGGGTTCGCTCGATTGAGGATCGCGCCCCGCCGTATCTCTACTGTCCCCGGGACGCGGTTGCTCATCAGAGTGTTTCATGTCTTCCCAATCCCGAACGCGCATGCGGAGAAAGTCGATTAAACGCTGGACTTCATCAGCTGTTTTCTCAGCCACTGACGTCGGGTCGCTGGCTCCAGCTGGTGGATTATTGTTGACGTTCGGAGTGGAAAGCGGTGGCTTCGCGGCGGCTCCGGCGAGAGAGAGCTTCTCTTCGATGCGACGTGCATCTTTGAATTCTTGCCTCATACGTGCCGGCATGGAAGTCTCTATGGCCGATTTCAAAGTGAGAGCGAAAGTCGAAAGCGGGATGCCGTTCGCCGAGAGGGTCGCGAGGCTACCTTGCACGAATGTGACGAGCTTGCGCAATGCCGGCAAGTCCTGGTACCTCGAAATACGGGGGAGATCCCGGAGGTCGGACAGGATTCTTTCCGTCTCGTTGTCGATGCGCGAATAATTCTGATCCAAGAGCTCGCGAGCCACGGCGTAGTTAGCATCGGATAGCTCGAGCGCGTGAACGATCTATTTCGGTTCACCGCCGACGAACTTACGCAGAATCATAAGACGCTCGATTGGAGGAGCGTCTGGCCTGTCGTTAACGAAGCATTTGAATTGGGTAATAAACGTTCGGTATTGCAAGCAGTCACCGGCAAACACTTCCGGCGAGATGTCAAGCTCTCGAGATAAACGGCCTGTGGAGAACGCTGCGCTCTGCGGAGCCGTGGCATTGGAAACGGTCTGTCTGGCCGGCATTGTGGCGGGATCCATCGTGGTGGCCGACGTCGTCGAAGAGCTCGGAGGGGGTGTCGCTGTAGTTGGAGCGAACGCGTTTCCCCCGGGAATGAGGGTGGACTCGAGGTGCATCGGAAAACGAACGTGTCTCCGAGCCTCTGGTGTCCCATAGAACGTCTCCGTCAGGTTCGAGCGATCGGCCGATCGGCTCGATGGCGCTGACGCGGCCGTCTATGCCACGGCTATCACTTCTTCGAGCTTAGCGTTGAACTCCTTGGCTTCTTCGATTTCTTTCTCGAAATGTTCTCCATCTGGCATGAGATCTGCGATTTGATCATCGAGCTCGCGGATTATGTCGCGATGCTGAGTCATGAGCGTGAGCGTGGTTTCGGGCCCACGTGGGAAAATCGGCGAGTCGGTTTCCATGGCCCCGATCTGGGCGATTTCATTTCTTATCCTGTTGCGGCGATGTGTGCGACGTTGCCGTAGTTTTTTCAGTTCCTTCTTGATATCACAGGCTTCTTCTTCCCGAGCGGGTTCTTCCTCTGCGCTGTGGGGTTCTTGGCTTCGAGGCTTCGGATGCATTTTGTCCTTTTCTTGGTTCACTTTTCGATGAATTATGGCCACGGCACCATGTTAACTTTACTCGGTGGAAAAAATGCGGAGGGATTTCCGGGTACCCAATCGCAAATCGGAGGAACAAGATTTCGATGATGCTCACACTCGCTCGGGTTGCAGACAACTACTCTCTTTAATTATCAGACCTTATCGTCGCGCCGTCGACGTCGGCCGACGCGGGTGTTCGACTCCAATGCCGCCAAGCGGCCATCGCCGATACTATCGCGGCTATCGTGGTAAAAACTCGAGATATTTAACAGCTTGTGTACATAAGTTTCGGAGATGAAAGAGAAATCGTATTTATTGATGGCATAAAACAAAGAGGTTTGTAATTTCCGATAGGCCCGTGCTCTCGCTACAAGCAATTCTGGTTACCGTGTCATGATGATGTCGCTGAAATTCCCTTAGAGCCATCAAAGCCTTCTTCGGCGGGCTCCACCAGGCTGCACAGTGCCCGAAGGCGCTCACTGTACGATACTAAAGACACCCATTGACCGTGAGCGCCTGGATATACGAGATGCATCGACAGGTACAGATATTCGAACTAGACTTCCTCTCGTATCGCTCGCGGACCTCCTCGCCTAGACTCCAAGCCCTGGAGCCATCGCTCCTTTCGCTGAACATCGGAAGGAAGTCTCTTTGGCTCAGACGTCCAAACATAGGAGCGTAGGACCCCGTCGACGGCATGGACTCTCGACTGGTAACTGTTCAATTGACTGCTCGAACTTCGCCCGTTTGGAAGAGGCGGGTTGTCCGTCGTCTGCTTCAACATTCCGAAAACCTGTAGGCGAGGAGGAATTATTTGGAAAAAGACGGTTTCTCTGTAGAAGAAGAGAGAAGACTGTCGTGTGAGGCAGCGGTTCACAGTGTCTTTGAGCGTAGTGCCCACCAACCTATTCTCAATCCCATGCGACACCGTTCTCGTCCGAGATAAGGCTCCTGTCGTCTACGAAATGCTGGACGAGCTTCTGTTCAACAAAGAATTCGGTCTACTTGGAAGGCTTCGTCCGGGGCTTGAAAATGGGATCCTTCGTCAAGCGGATTACAACAACTTGGTGCAGTGCGAGACACTCGAAGACATAAAAGTGCATTTGCATTCAACAGACTACGGTAACTTACTCGCTAATGAAGCATCACCTCTTGCCGTGTCGAACATAGACGATAAACTCCGGGAGAAGCTCGTGGTGGAGTTCCAGTACATGAGGAAAAATGCGACAGGGAAACTGGCCACATTTCTGGATTTCATCACGTATTCATACATGATTGACAACATCATCCTGCTTATAACAGGGGCGCTCCATCAGCGGCCGCTCAACGAACTGATGTCCAAATGCCACCCTCTCGGATCCTTCGATGAGATGAGGGCGATTGAAATCGCTCAAACCCCCGCTGAACTGTACAACGCGGTGATCATCGACACTCCCCTGGCTCCTTTCTTCCAAGACTGTCTGCTGGAACAGGATCTGAACGAGATGAATATCGAGATCATTCGGAACCAACTCTACCGCGCCTATCTTGAAGCGTTTTATAAATTCTGTGAAGAAATCGGAGGAACCACGGCGACGGTCATGTGCGAGATCTTGGCTTTCGAGGCTGATCGTCGAGCGTTCACTATCACGATGAACTCCTTCGGGACCGAACTCGAACGAGACGAACGCATGGCTCTGCTGCCTCGATGTGGGAAACTCAATCCCGATGGGTTGGCTGCGCTTGCGAGAGCCGAAGACCTGTTCCAAGTGAAAAGCATCGCCGAGTGCTACGTCGAGTATAGTGAGCTATTCGAGAACGAGAGTGGCGATAAGACTTTTGAAGATAAGTTATTCGAGTACGAAGTGGATCTGACTGTGAAGTCATTCATGCAGCAATTTCACTTTGGTCTCTATTACGCTATTGTCAAACTCAAGGAGCAAGAAGCCAGGAACATAGTGTGGATTTCAGAATGTGTCGCTCAAAGACACCGGTCCAAAATCGAGAATTATATCCCAATACTACCCTGATATTGATTGTCTCTATAATATTACTGTCTCTTGAGATTTCCCTTATCCGAGATCAAGGCCTCATCTCTTCGCCATCGGGACCAAACCAATGTCGACGACTCATTCGGGTCGCCAATGGAAGGCACCGGGAATTGCTCCCCAGAACCCCCTCCCTCTCATCCACTATTGAAAAGTTCAAAAAGCTCAACTTTTTTCCCGAGAACAAAGGCGTGAACCGCCCTTACTTTGTTATATATTCGATGAGAGAGCAAAGTATGTATCATATATAGTTCGTGAGTTCCGCGAGAAGCCAGATAGATATCTAGATCCAGATCGCTTGTGAAGCACCTTGAGGCGCGTCTCCATAGGAGAAAAAAATCATGCTCGATGCAATAAGAGTCTCAATTCATTTCATTATAACTCGTAGATGGGTCGCGACGAAGAAGTATAGGACTTATCCGGGAAGCCTCCTCCCGCTACCCTGCGATATGGTTCCTCGAGTCTGCGTTTGAGCGACGGAAACCGGTTGGGTAGTCTGGGAAATCGCTCCGGAGAGACCTCGGGGGGAGATGTGTCCAGAACTAACGGAGGCGGAGCGGACGGTTTCTGGAAGCGTTCCCGAAAGTCGCGGCACGGAGGACTTTTCGCCTACGCGCTGCACCCTCATGACTCCACGACTCGCTCACCAAGAAGCTCGCATACGATCATATGAGACTAATTAAAACTAGGTACATTCCGATGTCTGAAGTCAGATGAGATGCGTTTCGGACATTCCCCCCGTCCGCCTCGAGCGATCGAAACGAGTCTTCGGCGATGGCTTCGTCATGAAACCCCGTTTATCATCGCTGCGCCCTCTCGCGAGGTCTTTCGGATTCCCGCGACCCAGACTCGAGCTATTCGGGAGAGTCCTTGTGGAAGGTTCTGCTTGAACCCCAACAATAGACTGGCGGACGCTCGCACTCTGGGCGTTCCATCGCTTGCCCGAAACTTCGTCATTCCTGAGTCTAGGTGAGTCGAAGCGTAGGAAGCGGAATCCCGGATTCGAGCGTAAACTGCATCGATTCGGTAGCTATTTGATTTTAATTTCTGCACTCGTTGCAGGCGCTCAAGCGCGATGCAGTCACTCGGCATGAGCTCCGCGTTCTAGAAACAAACGCCGCTAGATATGAGTTGCGAGCGCTGAATTCGATGAGGACTCCTAGGCGGTCCTGAGAACAGCTTTCGAGAAAACCGTTCACTGTGGGAGGACTCGGATGATTACTCAACTCGAGGAAGGGGACCATACGAACTCTGAAGCTTCGTCGACATTCCGCGATACGATGCTACGCATCGTACTCATCACGTGGCTGTTTCTGGCAATCTACGGTCTCGATACGAAAGCACTCGGGGATCATTTGGCGATGTTCTCTCACTTCGCACAACTTGATTTAGAGATCGAGCTGCGCATGGAAAACAGGTTCTTAGAATATTGTCGATTCATCATTTGAGCTACTTTATTTCTCCTATGTATGTATATACGACCGCGGAGCTCCGATCAGAGCGTAATCGGCAGTATTCTAAGGAATATAGCCGGGCGTGATGGCTCATCAGAATAATTGCTGGGATTTCCGGAACGTCAGTGCCTTGAACATGTGAGAATAAAATAGTGAGTTTCTTGACAAATATCGTGTCTGCTCTCTACTTTCCCGCTCCAACGAAGACTAATGAGGTTGATGCCCAATCGAGAAGGTCTGAGCTCCCCCTCGATCCGTTCAAGATCAGGAGATCAAATAACCGAACCCCGCCTTGATTGTCTAGTTTCAATAATTCATCCCAACGCGCGAAGTCAGAGAGCTGTCTTGCATACGACAGAGGAGCCGCTCTTCGTCAAGCTCTCCCAGAACGCTTGAAGAAATCCACCACGCATGACTTTCTTCTTCGAATGGCGATTCCATCAAACTCTCCCCAGAGCCTGCTTTCCGAAAGAGAGGGATCTCGTCGGTTCGCAACTCGCAAAAATAAATGCATCTGAGAGTAGCCGTATCTGAATGGTCGGGATCGAAGACCCCGGGGACGGAGTAAATCTTATTCGATACGATTCTAGTGGAAGAATTCTGTTCGCCCGTCTGAGAGTGGGGATCGCCGGGGAAGACCGAGGAATTATGAAGCTGCAGTTCTTATTCTCGCTCTTATGTGTGATGCTTGTGCTTGTTGAAGGCCGGTAAGATATCCGTTCCTGGAGCATAATGTGTCTGAACTCCGTAGGCGGAGTATCGGGTTTCAAATCGAGTCTCAACGACGCCGCTCCTCTTGGACCTGGTCCCCGTCGGATCGTCCGGACTGTTACGTATTACGGCAGTGCGGATGTAGCGTTCAGCACTAGCGTAGAATATATGTATACTACTATACGGAAACATCAGTGATTGACTCACTTTTACTCTCTGCGCAGGGAAAGCGATCTCGTG